TTTTTTCCTTGCAGATTTTTTGTAAAAGGCAAAACATGAACCTTGTGTTGAACTTTCAAGTTCCTGACTGTGCATCTCCTGAGTTTGGAGATAGCGGTTCTGACAGTCGTACGCACGGAGCTCTTTTAGCATTCCGGATTATATAACAGCGTGGAATTTCAGAAGGAGGGCAATAAAACCCTTCTTGAGCTGTCAGCATCCGTCTGAAATGCCCTGCAGCTTCTTGATGACCTGTAATAGATTCCTCATCTTCATTTTCCCATCCAGCTCGGTGCTGGGTTTTAATTTGCTTCTCATTGCTGGGACTTTGGAGAAGGGATGGAGGGACAGGACACAGGGAATGGCTTCCCGCTGCCAGAGGGCAGGGATAGATGGGATATTGGGAAGGAATTCCTGGCTGTGAGGGTGGGGAGGGACTGGAATGGATTTGCCAGAGAAGCTGTGGCTGCCCCTGGATCCCTGGAAGTGTCCAAGGCCAGGTTGGAGCAACCTGGGCTAGTGGGAGGTGTCCCTGCCCGTGGCAGGGGGTGGCACTGGATGAGCTTTCAGGACCCTTCCAACCCAAACCATTCTGGAATTCCCTCATTCTGAAGCTCCTTTTCAAGGTAGCAGATGCCACACCCTGCAGAGAGAGGTGTGTGTGTGTGTGGACTTTCATTCCCATTGGGATTGATGGGAGTTTATTGTCCTGACCTGTTCTGCCAGCTGATAACACTGTTGCTCTTGGGTGGTGGTTCCAGCAAGGCCTCTTGGCATCCCTGTAAGACCCGGAGCAATGGGGATATCTGGGCAAATTCCCCTGGAGATCCATATGGGAATGGAGCCCTTCAGCCTCTCTCTTCCCTGGTTGCTGGCAGGGGCCTCTCCTGGCTGCACACTCATTAATTTGGAAGATACTTAACCTCCCTCTGGAGGTCTGGCCGGTGACCTCCCAAGATTAGCATCTCCTGCAGCGAAAAGGCTTTACCCTGTAATCCCCTCCTGGGAGAGCTCCTGGCTGGACATTCCCTGGGGGATGTCCTGCGGGACGCCGGGCACGGGGCTTTGCTCGGGCACAGGGCTTTGCTCCTGCCAGAGCCCCCAGGCCAGCAGGGCCCGGGGGTGGGTGGCCAGGAGGGCTCTCTGGGCTGGCTGAGCCTGCCCTGGGGGTTGTGGCCGTGCTGATCTTTGCAGAGGGCTGAGAGCACAAACAAATCCCCGCCTCAGCAGCTCCGCTGGACGTCCTGCTCTCTTTGGGAACCTGCCCTGGGATCAGTGCAGGGAAGGTGCTACTTGCATGGGATCCTTATTTTTCCTGTCAGAAGCAAGTTTGCTCTGTAAGTACGTTGTTAATGGTGTTTTTTCCTTTAAGCAAGACTTTGTAAGCTCTAATCCTACCCTGGTTTATATTATCAGCGCTCGTAACCGGATTTTCAGCTGCCACCGAGCTTTAATACTCACTAAAATTGCTTTACAGGTTTGTGGGATCTGTCAGATTTGCATTTTGTGTCGAGTGCATGATCTGCTGCTGGCACACATTAACGGGCACTTTCAGGATTGGTCCTTGTAAGAGTTTGGCTTCTCCTTTTTGTTGCTTTTGTGTCTTTTGTTCGGAGATCGGAGGCAGAACGTGTGTTTTGGGAGGGGCTGCAGGGCCGGGGCTGGAACTGAGAAATCCTCTTTTCTGAGTCCTTGGGATCTCGTTTCCCATGTTCCAAGCTTGAGAAGGAGGAGCTGAATATTGGGATGGGGTTGGGACGACGAATGAGCTGGAAGTGTCTGCTTTATGGCTGTAGGGCAAAGAACTTGGAAAAGATTTTGGGAATAGCAAGGGGGGTTTTGCTAATGTTTGTTGTGACCCAGCAATCTTTGTTCTCTGGGGTTATCCTGGCACTGGCTACAGGGAAGGGATGTTTGTTCCTGGCTCAGGAGCCCTGTCCCTGCTCCTGGCCTGTCTCCGGCCTCTCGGCCCCTTCCAGAGCTCTCTGGATCCCTCCTTACGTTGGGATTGCTGGGAAGCAGTGCTTGGATTGGGTTTTTAATTAGCACCTGTTATGAAAATGTTGTCTGAGGAACATGCAAGTCTTTGGTTTAGACTTCGAAGGACTCGGAGTCAGCTCCCAGCTGCTCCTGAACCAGCTTGGGTCCGGATTTTGGGGCTTTGCTGGAGCTGAGGCTTCCAAAACACCAGTGGTGTTGCTCAGCTTGGTCTCATCCAATGCCACATGTAAATATTTCCCTGTACAACTCTGTCTCCTGTTCATTCCTCCTCCAGCCCAGTGTGGGCTTGAGGGAGGTTCCCCTCCTGGTTTAAAGGCATGACCACAACCTGTCCACTGAAACAAAACCAGAGGAGAAGTTTGACTTCTGCTTTACCTTTACGACCCTAATTTTATGGGAGATCTCTAATCATGGCACTGTGCCAATGTGTTTTTGTGGTCTAACAAACAGATTTGTTTCAAATATTTAGAATTCAAGCAGTGTGTGCTCTACAGCTGCTCAGCCTTAGTGTGAATCTAATCCAAAAATCAGCTTTGAAGAAGTTCTTGTCGAATGTTTTTAACTGCTCCCAGGCTCTTCCTCGCACTGTCAAGGACTTTCAGTGTCTCTTTTTTTTTTTTTTTCTTTAAATAGAGTTTTATAGACACACAAATGACAGGCTCCTGTCTGGAGGAATTTCCAGTACAATCTAATTAAATCCCTTGCTGTTCTGCACCACAGATAATCGTAAATAATAATAATGTCTCTTGACACATGTAGTGACACTTTATCTTCAAAGCACTTTGCAGACGTAAATAAAATAAAATAGTATAAAAATCGTATTATATTATAAAATAAAATATTAATAAAATATTTCCTGCTTGAATTATCAGCCTTTCAGCTACTCCAGGACTGGGGGCTTGGGCAGCATTCCCTGGGCTGGATTTTCCATGGGACACGGGGGGTCCATGTGTCCCCCTGTCCTTTATCACATGGAGGAGGCAGAGCTGATGGAGAGCCTGGCCAGGGAACCTTCTGTCTCCTGCTGCTGAAGTGAACCATGGCAAATGGAGCCATGGAGCAGAATGAAAGCTGAAAGCCCCTGGCAGCAAAGCAGCGTCCCCGTGCCAGCCCCTCTGCTCGGGGGGCTCCCGGGGCTCAGGGGGAGGGAAAACCCCAGGGATGGGCAGAACTGCATTTGTTCAAGGGCAGGGGGAGGGATAACCCCAGGGATGGGCAGAACTGCATTTGTTCAAGGGCAGGGCTTCAGTGCTTTCACTGGGTCCTGTTTACCTGGAAGCCAAGGAGCAGATCTTGTGTTTACTGGAATTGCCCTTTGAATTCCCAATCCCTGGCTTTCCGAGGGCGTATAAGCATAAAAATAAAACACATTTTGTTTGTGTTTAGCTGGATCAGAGTCTCTATAGGATCTCATCTACAATTGTGAACTTCTGTTAGGGCATAACATTCCTTTAGAGGGAAGTGTCCCTGCCCGTGGCAAGGGCTTGGAACTGGATGGGATTTAAGGTCCCTTCCAACCCAAACCATTCCAGGGTTCATTCCCTGATATCACTTATCTCTGATATTTCTCCCCACAGCCAGTGCCCATCTCATGGTGTGTCAGTGCCACACCTGGCAGGTGGCACTCTCCATATTTTGAATTTCAGTGGTGAAAAAGCATTTTCCCAGCGTGTCCCTTGTGGGGTGGTTGTTGTGGGACCCCCCAGCTCAAAGCTGGAAGAGAGAGGAGGAGGAGCCCGTGTTGTGCCCCCCGTGAGGGCACCGAGCTGCTGAGAGCTGAACCCTGGTGACACCACTGAACCCTCCCAGCCCTTCATGTGATGCCTCAAAGGGAGTTAAAGCTCATTAATTCTTCTGCTTTCCTGGGGATTATCTGGGAAGTCCCAGCTAAAGTGTATTTCTGTCATCAGCTCAAAACAGGGACAGGCAGTCACACGCCTCTGACCCTGCAGAGCCCCAGCCCCCAGGGACAACGGGGGGCCTGGGCCTCCAGGCTTTAATTGGAAATAATATCAGGTGTTAATCACAGGTTCTGATGTGTTTCTAACTTCATGGAGTTAGAAACTCCTCCTGCTCCTCTGAGAACAAAATCTCTGAGCAAATTGCTGTTCCCACTGATTGATTTGTGCTGGTGGCATTGCCTTATTTTATCAGGGAAGCACAAAAGCCATTTTTCCATCTTAGTCTTTCTCAGTCACTTGTTGTTGTTATTAGAATGTTTAGAGTCTCTTTGAATCTCTGCCCACTTTGCTGTTTTTGCCTACCTGGTACCAGGTTGGTGCTTTTATACACCAGCATCATGTTTTTAATTAATTCTTCCCTTCTGGTCCCTCTCTGTGTTAACATTGGGGTTGCTTTTATTAACTTCTATTTAATTAGCCAGTTTTGCACTGAATTAAGGGTCATCTCCAGGGATATTCTTTTGAGGCACACTCTGAATTTCCTCTCCTGAGCTCAAGGTACTGTTAGCCTAAGTGAAGGTAAAAATATTAAAAGCATTAAAAGATTTATAGGCTAAAGAGCAGAGAATGTTGTTTTAGGGGATGAGAGAAGGAGTTGGGGTCAATATTTTTGTGTTTCTTTCCAGAAGAAACTGGAATCAGTTGAAAACTCTCATGTTGTCCAGAGAAGAGTTGAAAAATTCAGGTTTCCTTAAAATGAAAACTAAGCTAAAAAGCCACTAGTCTGGGTGTTAGTTTTGAGCCTTTCCACTGAGTTTGTCCAATTTAAAGCTTTAGGGCTTAAGGTTTTCTTTCTTTTGTACAACAGAAGGATTTTGAATAGTACTGCTCTTCAGTGTGAGTCCCTTCCTGATCTTACATGTGTATCAAGGCACAGAATTCCCATCATCCTGTTTCTCACCTTTGAAGAGCTGGAGCAGAGCAGTAATAAATGACTGTTCCGGACTCTGGTTTGACTCCAGTTCCTGTTCCCTGTCGGCCTCCGAAGGTCACATCGTCCAATAATCTGCTCCAAGCATTTCAGTGTTTTGACTGTGTCGCTTTCTCCTCCCCTTTCAGTGTTCCCAGGAGAAATCATGGATGAAAAGCTGTCTTACAAGGAGTTCCTCGACCGCAACGACTCCTGGGCGACGGACGAGCGGGAGCTGCGCTTCGACCCGCAGCCCGTGTTCAAGCCCATGGAGATGGCTGGTAGGGCTCCACTGCTTGGGAATCCGCAGCATCCCTGATTTTAGGGGCTGTGGGAGGTGGTGAAGGGCTGGTCTCCACCCCCACAGGGGCTTCTCTCTTGCCTTCCACCCCCTGTGCCTCGTGGTGTCCCCAGGGCTCAGCGCTGGGCCCAGCCCTGGTTGATGTCTTTGCTGATGATCTGAACGAGGGCATCGAGGGCACCCTCAGGCAGTTTGCAGAGGACACAAGGGTGGGTGGGATTGTGGATCTGCTGGAGGGCAGGAAGGCTCTGCAGAGGGATCAGGACAGGCTGGATCCATGGGATTGATGGGCTGAGGCCAACGGGGTGAGGGTCAGCAAGGCCAAGTCTGGGTCCTGCACTTGGGTCTCAACAAGCCCATGGAACACTCCAGACTGGGCAGAGGGGCTGGAGAGCTGGGAAATGACCTGGGGGTGCTGGTGACAGAGGCTGGACATGAGCCCAGGTGTGCCCAGGGGGGCAAGAGACCAATGGCCCCTGGTTTGTACCAGCCATGGGGTAACACAGGGCAGGGTTTGTACCAGCCATGGGGTGACACAGGGCAGGGTTTGTACCAGCCATGGGGTGACACAGGGCAGGGCCCGTCCCTGTGCTGGCACTGCTGAGGCACCTCCAGCCCTGGGGGCAGTTCTGGGGTCTCCAGTACAGGACATTGAGGGGCTGGAGCGTGTGCAGGGAAGGGAAGGGAGATGGGAAGGGGCTGGAGCAGCAGGAGCAGCTGAGGGAGCTGGGGGGGCTCAGCCTGGAGCAAAGGAGGCTCAGGGGGGACCTTCTGGCTCTGCAAGTCCCTGACAGGAGGGGGGAGCCGGGGGGGGGTCGGGCTCTGCTCCCAGGGAACAAGGGACAGGAGGAGAGGGAACGGCCTCCAGCTGTGCCAGGGGAGGCTCAGGTTGGACATCAGGAGGAATTTCTCCCTGGAAAGGGTGGTGAGGCCTTGGCAGGGGCTGCCCAGGGAGGTTTGGAGTGCCCATCCCTGGAGGTGTCCCAGGAAGGCCTGGCTGTGGCACTCAGTGCTCTGGGCTGGGGGACAAGGTGGGGATGGGGCACAGGGGGGATCCATGGGCTGGGAGGGCTTTTCCACCCCTAATGATCCTATAATTGTACGACAAGAGCAGTTTTTGGTTGACTCCCACTGTTTAACCTCCCCTGGGAGCTGTGGAGGTCGGTGCAAACCTCTCCCAGTCCCTGCCTGCTGAACTCCAGCCGCCCCTGGCTCTGGGCAGGGCTGGTTCCAGCTGTCATGTCGCTGCTCTGCAATGCAGGTCGGGCTGTTCCCGAGCCTCTGGAGCTGCTGACTCTCCTGAAAATTAGATGGTGAACCTTGTATAACCCTACAAAAAGAGACACTTTCACCCAGCAACATCCCCTCAGTTTTCTCTCCCTTTCGAGAAAGCTTGTGGGAAATTGCTCCTGGAGCACCTGAGAAATGGGGCTGCTGCCCAGGTTATCACAGGGCAAAGACACAGGATGGAACTTCTGGGTTTAATATATTTTTGAGTACTGTGGACCTGCTTAATGCATGATCTGAATCGTGGATTTACTAAGAGATTCTGTGAAGAAATGATGTATTTTTACAAGGGTAGGGAATGATTCATGGAAGAACTGGAACAGAAGAGCCACTAATTTGTAGGGTTTTCCCTCCTGCCTCTTTGTGGCTGCAGGAATGGGATGCTGATGTTGTTATGCTCAAGAGCCAGATGTCAAAGCTGTTGATTAGGAACAATTTACATACCTGGCCCATCAGCCAGTGATCTTGTGGCCTGAATAATGTGAATTTGTGAGTTATTTGTTGCATGAAACCACATTTCTTTAGGTTTCATGTCCTTAGAGCGTCTTGCAACCAAAACGTTCTTCCACTTCTCCCCTTTTTCCCTCTGGAGCAGAGAGAGGGTTTAATCCCAGCTGCCCATTTTTCCCACATCATCCAACTGCTGGACAAAGAGGGAAAAACAGCAGCATCTCTTTTAGTTTTTAAATTGGTTTCAGTCGTGATGATTTTATTTGGTTTTGGTTTTGGTTTTTTTTTTTGTTGTTTTTTTTTCCCCCCTTGTTTTTTGGGGTTGTTTTTTTAATTGGAAAAAGGGCAGTTGTTTAGTCCTGGCAACGCTGATGTAAACAGCTTGAATTTAAGATATTCTCCACGTTGCTCTGGGGGAAGATGTTGTCTTGGCATCTCAAATGGTCTGACAGGTTTCTAATTCCCTCAGCTCACCTGATTTTGACATCTCAGAGCACTGTGGGCATGGGAACACCTGAAGCTGGGCTGTTGGCCCTGCAGGAAGCACATCTGGCATGAAAATGAGCAACAGCCTTCAATTGAATCCCTGTTAATTGGGCACCTGGGAGAAATCCAGGCAGTGTCTGGAAATGGGCTGTGACAGGAATTTGGTGAACGGGGAGTCCTTTGGCTCCTGGGTGACACAACATGTGACAGAGTTTGGGAAATGTCCCTCACCTCTGAGAGGCTGTGCCTGTCCAGAGAAGTGCCATGGGCACCTGGCACAGGCCAGGCAGGTGTGCCAGGAATCCCCCATTCCTGGCCCAGGAAGGGCTGTATCCCAGGGACGGGTGTGAACCCACAGCCTGGGCTGATCCCACAGAGGGGCAAGGGGGGATTCTGCCCCTGTCTCAGCTGAGACCCCCCTGCAGAGCTGCTCCAGCCCTGGGAACAGCAGCAGGAGGACGTGGAGCTGCTGGAGAGAGTCCAGGGGAGGCCATGGAGATGTTCCAGGGCTGGAGCCCCTCTGCTCTGGAGCCAGGCTGGGAGAGCTGGGGGGGTTCCCCTGGAGAAGAGAAGGCTCCAGGGAGAGCTGAGAGCCCCTGGCAGGGCCTGAAGGGGCTCCAGGAGAGCTGGAGAGGGACTGGGGACAAGGCATGGAGGGACAGGACTCAGGGAAGGGCTTTAACTGCCAGAGGGCAGGGATGACAGGAACCTTAAACATCTCCTATTCCATGTAGCTGCAAGCTCTGCCCAGCCTTGCCTTGGACACTTCCAGGGATGGAGCAGTCTGCCTGGGACACTGTTCCTTTCCCCTCTGCCTTGTAACTTGGTTAAAATACTGGCCCATCACCCAGTTCCTACTGGGATACAGCTCCTGGCCGGGAGAGCTCACGGGTTCCACTGCTTCCCTTGGTCTGCTCTGGATTTCACTGAGCCGAGCTCAGCTGTCATTCCTTACTCCCGTGAACTGGATGTGTCCATCAGGACACAAGCAGATGATTCCTCCTGGAGAGGAGGAGGAGGTTCTCCCTGAACAGCCAGGACCTAAATGTCAGTCAGCTTTCCCTGGGAAGCAGCCTGAGAACTGTCCCTGGTGGGTGGAAGTCAGAATTCCGAAGGAGTTTGCTCCTGGGGGGTGCAGTGGTGGGGTCAGGAGCACCTTCACCTCCTTTTCTGATGTTCCCCTGTGCCGTGTCCTCCCCCTGGGTGCTGACACCGACCTCGTTGTGTCTCCTCAGACCCCTTCAACATGCACAGAGGGGAGAACCTGCCGGATTTGTCCTTCCCTGCTGACATGAGGAACGTGCCGCTGTTCCCGGGCCACGGGGAAGCTCCCAGAGACATCCTCAGTGAGTTCCTCCCAGCCATTTCTCCCTCCTGGTCGAGCTGGGGAGTTTTCTCTGTTGACTTTCATATATATACAGCAAATTATTAAGGTCTTAAGTTCACAGGCCTTTTCTCCTCTTATTTTCATGTCCAGAAACCAAATACACACCAACTGTTTCCACAGGGTGGTCTTGGGGTTTTGAGCTATTGGATTGTTTTATTAATATTGGATTATTAAGTGACTATTAGCAGGAATTCATGGCAGCAGAAGCAGAAAGCCAAAGGGAAGTAATTTGCCTGTGTTTACTGTCTTACACCTTGTTAAAAAGTTCTACATGAATACAGAATTTATGGTTTGTAAAGCTGAAATAACAGATTTGATACGAACTTGAACTGAAGTGCTTGTGAGCAGAAAGGTCCAAGTGTTGTGTAGACTTGAAATTTAGGAGAGGAGCCATTAATAAATAAAGTAAATAATTCAATAAATAAAGTTAAAGCATTTTATTTTAAACGTTAAAATATTTATTTTAATAAACAATTATTTTAATAAACATTAATTTTAATAGTTTAATGAAATTTATTTTAACAAAATTATTTTGGAAGTTAAAATATAATAAATAAAGTTAAAATAAACATAAATTAATAAATAAAGTAGATTAAAAAAAGTGAAGAGGGCTGGTGATTAACAAAAGGGCTTTGTTTCCTCAGCCCCACACGGCCCGATGATGGTACCTGACCAGCCTTTCTTGGGGCCCATGTATTCTCCTGCAGAGGCTCTGGACCCGTCAGCCTTCATGGGCCTGGATTCAAGCACAGAATTCCTGCAGGACAAAGCAGGTGAGGAGCGGGTGTTGGGCTGTCTGGGTGGGTTTGGAGGGTTTGCAGCTGGAAAATCTGAGTTTAGGAGTCGGGAAGAATCTTGTGGGGGGAACTGATACATAAAAGCGGTGGAGGTTGGAAGGTCTCCTGGTGGCACTGGCAGTGGTTGGTGCAGTGGGATGTGCTGAGGGTGGGGTGAGGAAGGTCCCTTCCAACCCAAACCGTGCTGGGATTCCACAGGAGGAGATCCCACAACAGCTGAGGTTGGAGGGAGACTTTTCCAACCCCCCCCCTGCTCTTGCAGGGCCACTCAGAGCCACTTGCCCAGAAGAGTCGAGGAAAGAAGCTCCTCTTTTGGGTCAGTGCTTGTAACCCTTCCCTGATGGAAGCTTTCACTGGCAATAATGGTGGAAGAGCAGGATTCCTGGTGCCTTTCTTAGAGGGAACTGAAACATCACTCGAGAATGAACTCCCAGACCAGCAGAGTCAAGGCCTTCGACTGGAAAAGTAAAAGCACTTCTGGGGCTGGACTGAGTGTGCTTGTTTTCCACAGGTCCTGAAGAATATTGGATGGGAGCTCAGCAGGACATGAAGGGACCAGATGCCTCTTTCTTTGTTGAGCCACCAGGTAGGAACAGTTTTGTCTTCGCCTGCAGGAGCTGTAAAGCTCTTTCTGAGCAGCAGAAGCAGCTTCTCTGCCTGTCTGCCCTCTCGAGGAACACCAGGCTGTAACGGAGCCGAGCGGGAGCTGACCAAGGAGAACACTGTTCCTGCTTCTCAAATCACTTTAGGATGGAAATGCGTGTTTGAGAAACTGGGAATGGCTTCAGACTGAAAGAGAGCAGGGTTAGGTGGGAGGCTGGGAAGGAATTCCTGGCTGGCAGGGTGGGGAGGCCCTGGCCCAGGTTGCCCAGAGAAGCTGTGGCTGCCCCTGGATCCCTGGAAGTGTCCAAGGCCAGGCTGGACGGGGCTTGGAGCAACCTGGGCTGGTGGAAGGTGTCCCTGCCCATGGCAGGGGTGGGACTGGGATTTTGTGATTAAGTTTCTGGTCACACTTAAATCCTTGGAGCTCCACTGAGATGTTGTTCCATTGGGGATACATCTGTGTTACAAAATTTGATCCCTAATGGGGGTTTTATTGCTGATTTAATGAAGAAGCTGAGAAGAGAATAGTTTAACACCAGTCCTGGTGTTTCTGGAGCTGGTGGCTCCACCTGGGGCTCGGGGTGGATCTGGGAGGCTTTGTAGCACAGCACTCCTCAACTGTGTTACTTCCTCAGGATTTGGGTGTGTTTCCTGGGTGTTGCACAAATTGGTTTCCTGAGGATGGACAACAAAAGGGGATTCTGGTTTTCTCTGCCCTGAGGGGGAGGCTGGAGGGAGGGGTTCACTCCCCAGGGTGGCTGCAGGCACCGCCTGGGAGGGGGACTCACATCCCAGGAGAGGAACCTGTTCTCTGAGAGCTTTCCAGGTGCTCACCCCCCCTTGGTTGTGTCTCCCAGTGCCCCCTGTAACCACAGAAGCAATAAAGGCGAGTTTGCCCGAGAGCCCCCCGGCCGTGCCCCCCGGCTCTGCTCCTGCTGCAGGCTCAGCATTCCCGGGAGAGCCCGGAGCTGCCCACGGACCAAAAGGTAAAGTCCCTCCAGCCTCAGGGTTGGTGCTGGGTTTGGGTCCCTTGAGAGCAGGCTCTGATGGTGGGAAGACATGGAATTGCCTCTTCTGAGGGAAAGGCAGCGAGGGATTAAGGAATCCTGCTGGGACTGAAGGTTTGGGATCCCTGGGGAGTCTTGGGGAGGAGCAGCAACTCTGCTGGACTGGTCAGCTCCTGTGTCCCCAGTCCAGGAACTGGTTTAATGATCCTTTACTGTCTCCAGATTTGAGCTCCAGGAAAATGCTAAGGTGTGTCAAGGACGTGATTACAACGTGGAATCACGGGATTGGGGTTGGAAAAGCCCTCTAGGATTGAGTCCAGCTGTTCCCCAGCACTGCCAAGGCCACCACTAAACCATGACCCAAGTGCCGCATCTGCCATGAGCCTGATCTGTACAGAAATACCTCCAGGCCTGTCTGTGTTAGAGACTCTTTAAAACAAAAGGTTTTTAAGGTATTTGTGCAGAGCATCAGACCCGTGGTACCAGTCGTTGTCCCATTTCCTGATGCTTTATTCCACTAATTCCCCTCATCCACCAGGGAATATCCATACTGCTTTTAAGACCTGTTTATTTACAGTCTTATCCATCTGTAAAATCACGATCTTGAAATTTTATTTTGGAGAAGATCGTGGTGTCACTTAAACCACAGCAAAGGCAAACCCAAATGAGGGTGGTGCGTGATGGATCTTCTTGGTTTGCTTCACTGAAATACTCCTTTTGTCTAAATGGATCCTTAAATACCATTTTAAAAGAGGCCTTTTCCATTTTTCTTATTTCTTTCCTTCTTCAGCTTAAGTACCTAATAGTCATTTTATCTAAATGGATTCTTAAGGACCATTTTAAAAGGCATTTTTTCCATTTTTCCTATCTGTTTCTGACTTCAGTTTAAGTATCTTACTTAGATTTAATACATTTTCCATTGGTTGGGGAGGATATTTTTAGATGTGACTCAAAAAAAAAAAATCAGTAGAAATTTTATTTTTGTGTGGCATCTACTCAGCAGTAGGTGGGAGATGTTCAGGTCATGGTGCTGCAGGACATGGAGGATGGGCAGAGCTTGGGGCTGTGGGAATTAGGAGCTGCAGAAGAGAAATCCAGTGCTCCTAGCACCGATAATTTACACAGAGTTGCCTCTAGAAGAGAAATATTTAATAAAAACCGACTGAAAAAACTCCTTTAAGGGGATTTTATAAAAACAGGAGCTTAAATACAGAGGTTTGATTGTGCTGTGAAGTGACAAATGTTGGTTTGGAATTACCAGCTCAGTGTCTTGGGAGATACTGTGTGGAAAATGAACGAGGCCAGTTTGGTCAGGAAGGAATGGAGGGATTTGGGAATTCACAGGATGACTGTTGTGTCAGGAGTGCCTTAAGCTGCAGCACCAAACCACCCCCTGACAGCACAAACCATGTTTAAAATGAACTCTGTGGCTTTGGAGTGTCCCAGGACTTTTTCCGCTGTTGGAATTCCCAGCTGGGCTTGTAAAGGTGATTCTACATTTTCTGTGTCCTGCTTATAGAGGGAAAAACAGGTTGCCCAGAGAAGCTGTGGCTGCCCCTGGATCCCTGGAAGTGTCCAAGGCCAGGTTGGACAGGGCTTGGAGCAACCTGGTCTAGTGGAAGGTGTCCCTGCCCTTGGCAGGGGGTGGCACTGGATGGGCTTTAAGGTCCCTTCCAACCCATTCTGGGATTCTCTGCAACCCCCTCGCTGTGATTCCTGTCCATATTCTGCTGGAATGTGTTCCTGGCACTGGATCCAGCAGCTCTGGCCCTTTGCCAGCTCCGTGGCACCAGAGAGGTTTCAAACCCAACGAGTCCCTGTTTGGCTGCTGGGTGTTGGGAGCAGAGGGATGTCCCTGCAGCCCGGGGCACCAACGTGGGGCAGGAGGAGCACTCGGGGGCAGGAACACGGGGACAGCTGGGGTGCCCTGGGCTGAGGGGGCAGCAGGGGATGCTGAAGGACAGGGGGAGAGGCACAAAGTCATAAAGCACAGGGTCAGGTGTTTCCATCTGCACTCCCATTGATTCCCGTGCCCTGTGTGTCCCTGGCAGGTGCAGCCCCCGAGGCCACGCCCGTTCCTGCAGAAAAAGCTGGCTCTGTCCATGCAGGAGACACCAGCCCTGCCCAAGCTCTGGATGCTGGATTTGCACCCTCAGCAGCAGCCAACCCTTTCCAGGCCATGGATGTTGGGTTTTCTCCTGCCCCTGAAGCCAAGTCTCCCAAAGCTGTTAATGACAAATCCAGCCCGGGGACAGACCTTGGCTTCTCCCCCACAACAGATGCTCCATCCCACCATGCCATGGATTTGGGGTTTACCCCAGCAGAAGGTATGGAATCCCACCATGCCATGGATTTGGGATTTGCCCCAGCAGAAGGTATGGAATCCCACCATGCCATGGATTTGGGATTTGCCCCAGCAGAAGGTATGGAATCCCACTATGCCATGGATTTGGGATTTGCCCCAGCAGCAGATGCAGAACCTCAACATGCCTTGGATTTGGGATTTGCCCCGGCAGCAGATGCTCCATCCCACCATGCCTTGGATTTGGGGTTTGCCCCAGCAGCAGGTGTGGAGTCCCACCATGCCATGGATTTGGGGTTTGCCCCGGCAGCAGATAATAAACCTAACCACACCATGGATTCTGAGTTTGCCCCAGCAGCACAAGTCAACCATCACCATGCCATGGATTTGGGATTTGCTCCAGCAGCAGATAATAAATCTGACCATGTTATGGGCTCTGAGTTTGCCCCAGCAGCAGAAGTCAACCACCACCATGCCATGGATTCTGAGTTTGCTCCTGCAGCAGAAACCAAGCCTCTTCCCACCCTGGATTCTGGAGCTGTCCCTGCAGCTGACCCCAAAATTGCTGTGCCTGGAGAGCCAGTGACATCTGGGTCTGCCCTTCAGCAGGACAAGTCTCCCTTGGACAAGTCTCCTGCAGGTGAGTCTGTGCCCAAAATCCCAGAGTGACGGGATAATTCAGGTTGGAAAAGCCCCTGACAACCATCACGTCCAAGGGTTGGTTTGCTTGCCCTAAAAGCCCTTGGGGAGAGCTCAGTGCTGCTCTCAGGGTACACAGGAGGTGCTTCCCGGGGGCTCTCCACTGAGAAAATACAGAGCTAGAATTTCTTGATGGTTTTGATTGTTTTCCCTGGGCATTCTCAGCACTGCTCTCTGTTTTTTGGGCAGCCACAGAGACATGCTGGCTCATCCCTGTTCTTGTGGAAAATAAGAATTAAGAGAGGAAGTGGTTTTTATCTCGCTCGATCTAAATTTAAAATGTGAATTTTTTTTTTTTATTCTTTGCAGAAGCAACGGCAAAGGTGGACCAAGAATCCAAAGTCCCAGAAGCTCGTGTGGATCATTTAGAGGACACCAAGGACACCAAACCCCCTCCCAGCCCCTCCAAGGAGCCCCTTCCCGGGCAAACCAACCACCTTCCGGAACCAGCAGGTGGGAAATGCAAAGCCCAGGACAAAACTGGGTCACCAGCTCCTTCTGCCCCACCACAGGCACTGCTTCTCTTTGCCCTTAGCAAAGAAAATGCAACAAAAGTTGAATTTCAAGCAGGTTTTTCGTGTGTGCTGACGAAGGGCTGTTATAAATCCATGTTAACCTTAACATTTGAAGTTACCTTCATATAACTTGTCTTTTTCTTCCTCATCCGTGGTTGCTGTACCAATGTCTGTCATCATCTTCCTTCCTATTTAGAATTTGAATAAAATTAATTACAGGGAGAACTGTTCTCCCATGTAATTATGGCTTATAAATGGAACTTTGGTGTAATTACACGTAGCAAGGGCTGGTGTGGTGTCTGCAGCAATGTACCATGAGGTAGAGATGAATTCAAGGTGCTCAGCATTAGCCAGGGACTCCAGACTGATAATGGAGTTTATTCTGGGTCTGAATTCCAGTGGGAATCTGGGACAGTCTGAATTAGGATGATTACAAAGAGGGAAAAAACCCAAACAAACACCCTGTGCTTAAGCCTGAAACAGTCTCTGCTTCGTGTTTTGCCTCCACCTTGGCATGTCTTGCAAAATGTAAAATTGCTGCTTAAAATCGGTTTGTGAGGAGATAAGGTATGGTAGAAAACCATGTCTCAGAAGCTTCATTCCTCTTAAACATAAAATTAACCCTGTCCCCTTCCCAAGGGACTGTTTTTATCTGCAGCCTCCCTGAATTGCTGAGACCTGAAGCTTCCTGTCCCTGTTTTTTCATGTTCCAGCTCCAGCAGGAGCAAAAGAAGACGTTGCACTAGAAAATAAAGACCTTCCAGAAAAGTCTGTCCCTGCTGTGGTTGTGGAGGCACAAAAGGAGGAACCTGAGCACAACCACGTGGAACCTCAGCAAGGAGAGGCCCTGCCAGAGCCTACAGGTAGGACATGGATAGTGATTCCATTTTTCCATGGAAATTGTCTCCTCTCTGAACTGCTCACCCTTCCCTCCTGGCTGTGGGGCCACCTGAGCAAGCAGGAGTCTCTTTGGTGTGGTTTTCTGAATTCCTGGTGCTGGCCTTGCACTTCCCTCTGGTCCCTGCCCTCTGAAAGACTCTTTTCCCCTCCATTTCCAACTGAACCTCCCCAAATCCGTGTGCTCCAAGTACTTTCTCACTGGGACTGGCTCACAGCTGCTCTGCTGGAGGATGAAAAGCTCACCATGTCTTTGCCATCACCACTGGCTTTTTGTTTGGGTGTTAAAAGGACCATTAATCCTTGCTGCAGTATTCCCAGTGAGGAATTCCAAATTGAGTTGTGTAACTGCCAAGGGAAGGTGTCATTGTTTTCCTGCCTCTCCAGGAGCTGGTGGTGCCACACTGGTCGTGGAGGTGGATTTGTGGGCCAGGGCTAAGTGACAAATGACTGCTGCTCTCTAAAACTCAGTGGCTTTGGAGCTGAGGGAGCCCTGAAGGGACACAGCAGGTGACTTTGGGACACAGGTTCTGCCTCCCACTGCTCCCACCCTGGTGCTGGGGGAAACTTGGCTCTCATCCCCTCCATCTCTTCCAATCTTTCCACTAAACTTCTGTTTTCCCAGTCTGGAAGGATGCCAGCTGGAGATATAAAAAGTCTCTCTCTTAATCTTGTCTTGCTCAGACAAAATGGATCCTTAATGCATTTTTAAAGAGCCGTAGCATGTCCTTACAGGAACTGGTGCTTTTTGGTGGGGTAAGAGCTTCTGGCAGGACTTATTTTTAAAGGGCATTGACCACGTATTGGAAGTAATTAAGTAGGTTTTGGGGGTAAATCATAGAATCATGGAATCAGCTGGGTTGGAAGGGACCTCCGAGGTGTCTCCCCCAGCCCTACCGAGGTGCCTTTAGTGTGGTATCAGTGCTGGAAATCCAGCCCACGTGACTGTACGGCCCGTTTGGGATGGCTGAAGTCACTTAAATAGTATATTTATTATTTTCTTAGCGAGCAAATAGTGGCTTTGATGTTTGAGGAGGCTTCTGTATTCCAGGTCTTCCCACTGCACAAGTCAGGCAAGCTCCCAAATCCAGCGACCGCGGGTTTGGCGGAGCAAAAGCTGCCCCAGTGCCTCTCACAGCTGTGCCAGAGGAACAGCCAGTAGGTCTCCCAGAGCAGAAGAGCCCTGACCCCGTAGTGGAGCTCGGATGTGGTGCTGGAGCCTCCCCTCGCAGGAGGGTCCCACCCAGAAAGGCAGCCCATGGCCCCTCGGGGTCTGTGGAGAGCTACGGGGACCCACCACGGGAAAACTGGGATTTGGAAGGTGCCGTGGTGAAGAAAAAGAAAAAGAAACCCAAACAGAGGAGAAACCAGCTGCCGAGAGCGATGGAGTTCTGGGATGAAAACGGAACCGCCCCCGGAGCTCCCGGGAATTCTCCGTTTGGTGTCGCACTGCAGGGTCCGGGTGTGTGTCCGGGAATGCCGGGACCTGCCTCTGGAAGCAGAGCTTTGGATGTGCCAAAGGATGCTAAAATAACAGCTGGGAGTCATGTCCTGGATGAGCAAAATGCCTCCTCGGTGCCAGCACCAGGACAGCAGGCCCAGAAATCCCGGGTGTTGGATGCCAGGCCTGGGGATGTCACGAAAACAGAGGGAAGGAGAGGTGAAAGCTGGATGCTGGAAGGTGAAGGCAAGAGCAAAGAGGTTCCCTTGGAGCAGGTGGGCAGGACTAAGGTGGGGGAATCTGTCCCAGCAAAGGCACCCACCAAGCTTCTGGAAAGAGATTTTCCTGATAAAAAGGAGAAGAGGGAGGATAAGGAGCCCAGATGTGCCGACCTGGTCAATGTGAGCAAAGCAGAAACTCCCTTACAGAACAAACCTTTGGAATTGCTCCTTCCTGATAAAAACAAGGAGCCTAAAACCACATCTGCCAGTCAGGAAACCCTCAGTGACACTGTCCATCAGCCTTCCTGTGGGGCTCTGGAAGCAGCAGCAAAGAAAAGCTGGGAAAAAAGCAAAGGGGTTGGGAATGAATCCCTCAGAGAGGCTGGGCTGGAGGACAAAGGTCCTGCAGAGCCAAAGGCAGCTGGTGAGACTAAACCAGTGCCAGAGGGAGGACTGAAGGCCCCAAGAGATGCTGCTAAAGGGCCTCTTGCACCCTTGGCTTCCCCAAAGCCTGAGGAGGCTCCTGCTCCACAGGACAGGAAGGCCAACGGTGTTCCCGATGCTCCCAAACATCCCAGCCCTGCCGAGGCACTGGGCAGGGGGGTGGCAGCAGGTTCCCCGGATCAAAACAAAGGGAAAGGATTTGGTGCTTCAGAGCAGCAGGCTGGCAAAGACCCCGGTTTTACACACGGGATGGACAGGCCCAAAAAAAAGCGCGGGGAAGGGAAGGGCAAAAGGGTGAAAAGCTTCCCTGAGCACATGATGCTCTCAGAGGATGGGAGCAGATCCCCTGATGGAGGGAGGGTGGATGAGGCCGGGAAAGAAACAGCTTATCCTGACAGAGACCAGGGTTTCCCTGCCAGGGGACACCCCCCAGGCAGCTCTGCACAGGCCTGGCCTGCAGACAAGCCCAAAAAAAGGGGCAGCGATGGAAGGAGTAAAAAAGGGGAAAGAGGTTTTTTCCAGCAGCCTTTCCTTGAGAATAAGGTGGACCCAAGTGGTTTTCCTGAGCTGTCCAATAAAGCTAAGGAAGTCAGTGATAAGGGCAGAGAGGGGGGTTGTGTCACTGCTGGGTGTTTGCAGGAAGATAGAGCTAAAATGCAAAGGCCAACTGAGGTGGTGCCAGGGGAGATGAAAGAAAACACTGGGAAAGATGAAAAAGCTGCTTTGGGGGCTTTAGCCCAACCTTTGCTGCTGGAGAGCAGGAGAGAGGAAGCCAAAGGTCCTGCCCTGGGTGACACCATCAGCCAGACAGAAGAGGTGGATTTGGGTAAAAAAGGCAGAGAGGCCGGAGGGGCTGCAGGGGAATCCCCTGGGCTCAGCTCCAGTGGGACACGGGAGGCAGAGAAACCCAGGAAGAGGAGCAGTGATGGGAAAAGGAAACAGCCTGACAAGACTTTGGGGCAGGCAGCTGTCCTGGGGGCTGGGGGGGACACGGACCAGGAGAAGGTGGCTGGAAGCAGGAAGGAAACGACCTTGGATAAGGAGGTGTCTGGTTTGGAAAGAGGGAATCTGGCAGAGGTGCTGGGCAAGCCTGAAATCCAGGGTGGCAATAGGAGTGCCCCTCATCAGCCAGTTCTTTCAGGTCATAAGGTGGAGACATCAGAGCCAGGAACAGGCAGTGCTAAAGAAACTTGGCCCATGAATACAGGGAAGGATCCAGGTAGATCCCAGCCTCTCCCAGAGCACAGGGCTGGGACACACAGTCTCACCAGGGAAGTGGGGATGGACGAGACCAAGAGTAAAACTAGAGATGTGAAAGGCAAAAAGGCTGAAAATAGTCCTGAGCTGGGTCCAGGTGACGTCCCTGCAGTGGGAAATGTTAACCAAACTCAATCTGAGAAGGGCAAAGGGGCTGGTTCCGGGACTCCAGAGGCTCTGCTGGGTGACCTCAGCATTCCTGCCAAAGGACAGGCTCCTGCTTTGCCTCTGGAACCACAGAAATCACACACAGGGAGCAAAGAGAAACACAAAAAGCTGGAGCCTGAGTCTCAGCAGCCGTTTGTGCTGGAGCAGAAGGCAGGAGCAGGGACGAGCCCTCCCCGGGACACAGAGATAAGGGACAAACCTGAAGGTCCCAGTCCTTCCAGCAGGGACAGAAATCCTACCCCAGAGCACCCAGCAGTGGCAGATCCCACTTTGGCCCTGGTTACTGAGAGATCTAAAAAGAGGGGTCATGATGGGAGCAGTAAAAAGACCAGAAGTGCCTCCAAGCAGCCCGTTCTTCCAGAGACAGAACCAGACAGGGGTGAAGCACTGCCTGCCCTGGGATCCCAGCTGGAATATGGGATGGAAGACACGGATTTTGTAGATGAAAACAGAAATATTAAAAACTTCCCCACTGGCCCTCAAAAGCTTTGGAATAATAAAGGAAGTGACCTCCAATCCTTGGCTCAGAGCACAGTAACTGACCCTGGGAATGAGGGAGATGCTTCCTCTGGCTTCCCAAAGCAGAGAGATGGGGGTGCAGGGAGTGGGGGGCTTCCTTCCCCTGCTCCTCCTGCTCCTGCTCCTGAAGCACTGGCAGAGAAAAGCAGCAAAGAGCCTGGAGCTGGTGGTAAGGAGGAGATACAGACCCAGGAAGGTTGTGAGCAGCCCATCCATCTGGGACACGAAGGACCCGGAGAAGAGGTTTCAAAGAAAGGTGGGCAAAGCAGAGAGGCTGGTTCCCAGGGTGGCAGTGGGGCAGGGAAACCACTTGCATTGGCTCCTGCAGCCAGACAGCATGTTCAGTCAAAGAAGGATGGAGTTCACCCTTCTCCTGTGGAAAAGGTGGATGATAAAGAAGTAAAACCCACTGATAAAAAGCACAACACTGACAAGGCTTCCTTGGAGAATAAAGCTGGAGGGGCTGAGCTGGGTGGAGGCGAGAGGAGTGAGAAGAGCTCACTCAAACAGCCAGGGAGTGTGGCTGAAGCTGAGGCTGCTCATTTAAATGTGACAGCTGCCCAAACAACCCAGATCAGTCCTAAAGAGAATAAAAAAGGTCCCTCTCAGCCTGCAGAGGAGGGGGATGCTCTTGGTGGCAAGGCACACCCGAAGGAGGCTCCGGTGTTGAAGTCTGAGGTAGATAAACCTCAAGACACAACCAAAGAAAGGGAATCCCAAGACACAACTAAAGAAAAGAAATCTCGAGACGCCACCAAAGAAAAAGAAACTCATGACACAACTGAAGAAAAGGAATACCAGGAAAAAACTAAAGAAAAGAAATTTCAAGACACGAATAAAGAAAAAGAAACTCAAGACACAACCAAAGAAAAGGAATCTCAAGAAACAACCAAAGAAAAAGAAACTCAAGACGCAA